AAAAAAAAAAAGAACTGCATACAGTCAGGATTCTAGCAGCAGCCTTCTTTATGGGCTGGGACTGTTGATTCCTAACCCAGAAAGACTCTGAAATCAAGGAAGAGAAAGACTGTAGAAGACTGTGGAAGACTAAGGAAGACTCAGGGCAAGGGCAATGCCTCACCCCCAAACCAGCTCAGATACAGAATAGCCCTCAATAAAATTTTAAAATTTCTGATTGAGCAAGGAACACAGATTCCAAAAAAAAAAAAAAAAGAAAGAAAGAAAAAAGGCCGGGTGCCTATAATCCTAGTACTTTGGGAGGCCAAGGCAGGTGGATTGCCTGAGCTCAGGGGTTCAAGACCAGCCTGAACAAGAGCGAGACTCTGTCTTTAAAAATATAGCTTAGGCTTGGCGCCAGTAGCTCAAGCAGCTGAGACACCAGCCACATACACCTGAGCTGGCAGGTTCGAATCCAACCCAGGCCCACCAAACAATGACAGCTGCAACCAAAAAACACTCAGGCGTTGTGGTGGGCACCTATAGTCCCAGCTATTTGGGAGGTGGAGGCAGGAGAATCACTTGAGCCCAGGAGCTGCAGGTTGCTGTGATGCCATAGCACTCTACCCACTAGGGCAACAGCTTGAGGCTCTGTCTCAAAAAAATAAATAAATAAATAAATAAAATTAAAAAGCAAGTTTTCATAAAAAAAAAAAAAAACATATATATAGCCAGGCATTGTGGCAGGCACCTATAGTCTCAGCTACTTGGGAGGCTGAGGCAAGAGAATCACTTGAGTCTTGGAGTTTGAGGTTGCTGTGAGCTATGATACCATGCCACTCTTAACAAGGGTGACAAAGTGAGACTCTCTCTCAAAACAAATTAAGACTCTGTGCCTGTAGCTAAGTGGTTAGGGCACTGGCCACATGTACTGGGGCTGGTGGGTTTGAACCCAGCCAGGGCCTGCTAAACAACAATAACAACAATTAGCCAGGAGTTGTCACAGGTGCCTACAGTCCCAGCTACGAGGAAGCTGAGGCAAGAGAATTGCTTATGCCCAAGAGGTTGAGGTTGCTGTGAGCTGTGACACCACTGCACTCTACCAAGGGTGACATACTGAGACTCTGTCTCAAAAAATAAATAAATAAATAAGTAAATTCCTGGTCTTTTGACAAGGAAGAATAATCAGCCAGAAACCCCAATAACATCCCCCAAACTCAGGCAGGCTTCACGGAGCTCTATCACCTCCTCACATCCACCACTCCATTACCACTTCAATGACAGCATGGGTTGGATGGAGAGACTTGGAAGGCAGGAAAGGGGTATCTGCCAGGCCTGGGTAGTTGGCTGGCCCCATGCTACTGAGTTCATCTCCCCCCCGCAACACCATCCCCCAAATAAACATTCCAAGGAGGTCTGCATCAAAAATAAACCCTTATCAGATGAAACCAGTTTTTCCTGGGCTCTAAGATATTTTAACTAAGACCTCTTTCCCATTCCTTCATCTCTTAGGCCACACCATGGCATTAATTCCTTCTCTTGCCTCCAATATACTTGCCTTCCACTCTCTGAGTTAAGGTGTTCTTGGGCCACATAATCCCTACATCCCATTTCCCTCCCACACTCTACACCCCTGGTGGCCATTATCTAGCTCTTGTCTGCCACCCCCTTTATGGACTCTACCTCTGCTCTGTCAGGATATCCAGGACACTTTCTGCCAACCAGATATTTTTGGCTGTAACATCTCCACCTGATTTCAAGGGGAAAAAAGAAAATCAGGATAGCTTTGATTAACAACTCAGCTGATCCACTACATTCCATCCATTCTCTGGGTCCATCCTATTATTCCACCACTGCTATCCTGAGGGCTAGAATAAACTGCCTTCTATTCTGCCAGGCTTTAAAAGTTTCCCCCATTTGACTCCAGAGAGAAGGGAAGGTAAAGTTCCAGATTTTTTTCAGAAACCAGAGCTGCTACTTTTCCACAGATTGCAAGTTGGAAAGGAAACACTCTGGCCCTTGAAAATAAGAAGCCCACAGTTGGAAAGAAAGGGTGGCATCTTAGAGAGGGCCCCAGAGCACAGGTGGCTGGCAATAGCTGTAGTTCAATATCTGGATGTCCTCAATCCTGTGCTTGTGTTTACAATAGGCCAAGAGTTTGTTTCCAAATACCAGTCTTCAGAACTTCTAAGGCAGAATTAACATGCAGCAAATGCCAGACCAAAGTCTTGGAATAAGAAGTGGGGGCTGGAAGGGGCAAACAGGGAAGAAAGTGCCAAGAGACAGGATAAAAATTGCCGCGCAGGGGCAGCACCTGTGGCTCAGCCGGTAGGGTGCTGGCCCCACATACCGAGGGTGGTGGGTTCAAACCCGCCCTGGCCAAACTGCAACAAAAAAACAGCTGGGTGTTGTGGCAGGCGCCTGTAGTCCCAGGTACTTGGGAGGTTGCGGCAAGAAAAATCACCTAAGCCCAGGAGTTGTGAGGTTGCTGTGGGCTGTGTGATGCTATCGCCCTCTACAAAGGGCAATAAAGTGAGACTCTGTCTCTAAAAAAACAGAAACAACAAACACACACACACACAAAAAAAATATTGCCGCACAACAACGCTATGCCTGGCCTCAGATTCCAATCAAAAAATTCAGTGTTCCCATAGTCACACATGACACAGATTAAGGTTCCTACACATCAAAACAGGAGCATCAGGGTTACATAAAATCTGAAAGAGGGGCTCGGCGCCTATAGCTCAACCGGCTAAGGCGCCAGCCACGTACACCTAAGGTGGCGGGTT